GGATATTTATATGGACGTCTGCCTATTTGTATGTATGCATGTACATATGAGTATGTATGTATGGAGGTGTAATGAATAATATTTACATTAGAAGGTTTTGAGCTGAAACTTGGGTAATACGTCAGAAGCAATATCCAGTTGTGTCTTTCTGGAGATCGTACATGAAGCAGCTGTGACATTTTCAAACTTTCTGGAAACTGGTCACAATTGTTTCTTAAGTTACTTTATTTTTGGAATAGAAAAAATATACATTTATAGAAACAGTATAGTTTTGAATTTCATTAAAACCTACGAAATTTTAAAAATTGAAGTTTGTACGTATTTTCGAACCTTTCCAATTTCTGCAGTATTAAAATCATGGACATTTCTCAAATCATTTTGTTCTTCAATTTTAGGTCTTTAAATGTTATAATGCATCTTTTAAAATAAAAAAAGAGTAGTCTCTAGTTGTTGAGTGATACCTAGTGACACTAACGATGCCAATTCGTATTATTCACTCATTATTTGTAGTGCATTATAACTGTTCGAACCGATTGTGCCTAATTGCATATGCACATTTACAGCAATTTGTAAACACAATTGTATTTTTGAGTTAAAGTGTTTCTATTGACTTCAAATGAAGTTTTTTGAAAACTCAAAAGTGCTTCAAATGTCGAATTTCGACGGTTCCAAATTTTTCAAGGAAAATTGCACTTTAGTAGAGGTTTTACTGTTTATTACTATTCGAAAAATAATAGTTCCGTTTGGAAACTATATATATTAGGAAACTATATATTAGGAAACCGAAGTATTAAGAACATTTTTAAAAATATATATAATTTGACCGGCGATAGATGGCAGTAAGCAAGAGTATGTGGCAAGTTCCAATAGCTAGAAAAGACCAAAGGAAATAGAAAACTAATACGGAAAAGTCTGTGCCTTTCTGTTACACCACTAGTTCAGTTTCTTGCACCCACATAACGTGATCAAGAGATATTTGTCACTCAGGTAGTGAATACAAGGTTGCAATGAACAAAGCTGTTGATGCATTTTACTAAACATTATCAACCTATGAATATTATAAATATATTACTTTATTGATTTGATCTCGCTAGAAATCCCTTTTACAACAACGAAAGATTCGTATTTGCTACCTCTAAAATACTATAGGAGCTTTAGATCATTTTATTATTCTAGACTATGCAAATAAAATGTTGGAAACACTGCCTAGTGTTTATCATCAAAACAAAAGAATGCATATATATATGGGCCTACTTTGGCCAACTATACACCAATGTAAAATAATGTTATCTTTACAGTGTTTTCACAAAAGTCTTTTTATTCAACGAGTATTTGGGGAGTCGTCAGACTGAAGGAAACAGGTAAGAATAATGTGACAACTTTTTTCATAAAGGAAGTCACTCAGCATAAAAACAGGTTGTCAAATATTATTACTTACACTCCAACAACATTGTAAAAAGGCGCTTCTCCTTATTAGAAAATAATAAAATATATCTTCGTTACGTAAAAAATAAAATCTATTTTTAAAGACTCGTGTACTTAATGGATTGTGATGATTGTGTTACATTCGAATTGCGAACATAACCAAAATTATTACTCGTCTATCTATTTTCCCTACTCGTATTATCATGCACTACATCGAAATGCTAATAATACTTCACTATACTATTTTTTTGTTTTTGTTAACAGATAAAAAATCTTTAAATGCTGCTACTCTTAAGAGGAAGTCGGGAAAATGATATCAGCAAAGATGAATTCCCGAGAGAAACATCATATTTTAGAAGAAGTACGAAAAAAAGTATTCTTTTTTTCTGAACGACAATTTCAAACTGCATCAAGCCACACACTTGTTTTCTTGGTAAGTGAATATGACATCAGGCGACTTTCAAAAAGTATAAATTATTTTTTACTTAAATGACTTTCTTGTATTTCCTAAAAATATATTTCTGATATTTTTGAAGTGGGTTTTGTATTTTTTAATTCAATTTTTGTTTTTTACTTTTGAGTGGCTTTAGGGAAAAAAGAAACTTTCTACCTCTTTGCTGTATACACTATATACATTAGGCCCATCACTGTATCTACTACAAATAAGGTCACTTACACGTACTTCTCCGTTTGGAAGTCTGGTTTTGACATCTACACAATCTAATTATGATAGAGCACAGGGTGAGAAGCTAGTATAATACGAAAAGTGAGGAATTATACTTATACCAGATCAAGTTCTGGTTTTCGATGTGCGGTTGCAACTTGCAACTAATGCATAAGGTAAATGTTAGAAAATTTTAGAAAAGGGGGAAGCGTAAAAAGTGCGTTTCGACACTTTCAATCGAACCCCGTAATAAGAGGAATACGGCGGAATTACAGTTCAAAACTTACCTCCAAGAGGTCCGGTCAAATATACATTTACGCTAATGGATTCCGTTTAAGGGTAGTTATTATCAAAGATTCGTGATGTGCAGCATTACTCGCCGCTTGCAGAATTTAAGCAGACTCGGCCTGCATCTGATGTGACCTCTGCGAACCAGCACTCCATATTGTCCAAATTGATTTTTTTTGCAAATCGTAAGGCGATGTTGACCAGGCGTCGGCTTGACTTGCTAGCTGCAGCTAAGACTTGAAAAATATATTATAAACAACGTTTATATTTACACCATCTTCCTTCAAATTTTAGGCATTGACCACATTTTATATGTATTTTTTCACTTCATTCAATTATATCACATTATCAATTATTAACTTGTGGATTAGCATGATATGTTCATCAATATCACCAAATCTGCCAAAAAGCGAATAGACATTAATTTTTGAAGCGGTGAATATGTAAAGAAAAAGAATAATTTCTCAAGAGTTGCATTTTGTTCCATCTGGTACTTCTTGGAACGTGGTTTATAAAAACCTACTAACACAATAGGCCGTGGTCATAGCCCGTCAAATCCCGTCAATGTTTTACAAGTCGATTCAAATTTTGAGTTTATAGATAATAGAGCTAAAATTCACCGCAATGGATAATGTAGCAATTTTTGGAGCTCTGAATTGAATTACGCATTAAAACTAATTGCATGAAAAATACATTCCTAGAGGGTAACAAAATTAACAGTTTTAAGGGAAAAATATAAACATGCGATCGCAGCACACTTTTCAATTACACCTTGGTTTGACGGCTTGCACTTGGTCTCGGAGACGGAACGGGGAAGGGCCAACTTCACAAGCGTACCTGACGTCTGCGGAGGCCAACTATCAACAAATGGGTGAGAAACAGTTAACTTTTTAAGTGTTTTCTTCATATTATGGTGCACGGAGAATTCATTTGTGAAAGTTGAAAAACTGCATTTTGGCCCCAGAATCGGGTCCCAAAACTCATAACGTAACGGGGCAGGGGAACACGTTGAATCCAGTCCAGGCGAAGGAAGACTAAAAGACCTGGGAGAACTACCTGCCTTCACACACAGTTGCTGAGTAGATGAACTTGGTTCAATAAGGTACCGTCGGGCGGTCAGTTTTAGCGTCATCGAAGACCTATCGTCTGCAATCCGAAAGCGGATGAGATAGCTCAAGGTAACATTTGCCACTGTAGTGTTCCTGACCAGAAGGTCCTAAGGTTAGAGTTCCGGCGGTGAGTGAATTTCGACTCCCTCTAGATAGAATTCAGTCGTAGTCTGGAGGAGTATTCTAGTGGCCGAAAGTTCTGATCGGTTGTTTTCCAAGGTTTCTCCTATCGATGCCAGATTAATGCCGATGCACTACTTCAGCATACGGGCCACGGGCCGCAAGTAATTTCTTCCTCATTCTTGCTTCCATATTATCTCCCCCTTGGTGAAAAACATAGTGTTTACCGGGTACCTGTGACTTGTTACCCGCGGTTGCAGAAGCAGTTGCGGAAGCAACCGCAACGCAAGTTGAAAGGTACTGACAGTAGGTGTGATGCGTGTGTGTGGCGCAGTGAGGAGACTGTGGCACCTGACGCAGAGCCTGGCCAGAGCGCGAGCTGCTCAACCACTACGCCCACCTGGTGCGCAATAGCATGGCGCGCCCCGCGCCCCGCCCTTCGCGCCCCGCCCTCCGCTCCTCCTCGCCGCTCTGGCAGCGCCGCAGAAAGCACGAGTGAGACCTCACCTCACCTCACATCACATCACCTCACCGTACCACACTTCACTCTCCACCCGATAATCCAATCAACTCCTTTCCACCCCCAGACTCCCACCCCCACTCCAACCATACCCACCCATTTAACCCTTCTCCCATCTACTCCAAC